CATCAAGAAAACCCAGACACATCATGTATGGCAGACATAAAAAAGCATCAGACATTAGATAATATCTACAACATACATATTCAAACATCAGGCATTTAGGGCTGACATCAACAAACACCAGACAAGTATGGAAGACATTAACAAATAACAGACATGTATGGAAGTCATCAACAAACAGCAGACATGTAAGGATGACATTAAAAAATAACAGACATGCATGGAAGACATTACTAAATAACAGACATGAATGGAAGACATCAAGGAACATCAGATACGTATGGAAGATATTAAAAAATAAAAATATGTATGGAAGTCATCAACAAAACCCAGACACGTATGGAAGACATTAACAAAAAAACAGACACGTATGGAAGACAACAGACATGCACAGAAGACATAAAAAAAAAAACACCAGACATATCACAAATTATATTAAACAGTCAACAGACAACTCATTTATGGCAGACAACAACAAATACCAGATATATCACAAACAGCAGACAATAAACACTAGACATAACACGTATGGTAAATATCAGCAAAGATTAGACATTACAGACATTAACAAACACCAAACATTTATGGCAGACACAACAAACACCAGACAAATCTACAGCAGACAACAAACATCAGACGTATCTCGTATTAGTAAAATAAAACAATGGCCAACAGAAATCAACAAATTTCAGAACACCTACACCGGACTCAACATACTAGTGATGTATTCAACACAAAAACCTGTCTCCAAGCAACTATTGACTACAATATGTTATGATCTGAGTGCAAGCAACAAACAACTTCATTACAACTGTATCACATCAGTGCAATATTATCAGAAATATACAACATTCTGTGTTACATCATTACATCTATGCAACGCTAACCACCAACCACTATATCACATCTACGCAACATTCTCCCTACCTCTGTCACATCTATGCAACCTTCTCCACAACTCTTTCACACCTATGTAACTCTACCACACCTATACAACCTTTACCTTAACTCTATCACACCTATGCAACCCTACCACATATATGCAACCTTCTTGCTAAATCTATTACATCTATGCAACCTTCTCCCTAACTCCATAAAACTTGTGCAACCTTCTCCCTAACTCTATCACATCTATGCAATCTTCTCCCTAACTCTATAAGACGTGTGCAACCTTCTCCCTAACTCTATCACATCTATGCAATCTTCTCCCTAACTCTATCACATCTATGCAATCTTCTCCCTAACTCTATAAGACCTGTGCAACCTTCTCCCTAACTCTATGCAATCTTCTCCCTAACTCTATCACATCTATGCAATCGTCTCCCTAACTCTATCACATCTATGCAATCTTCTCCCTAACTCTATCCCATCTATGCAACCTTCTCCCTAACTCTATAACACCTGTGCAACTGTCTCCCTAACTTTCTGACATAAATGCAACATCCTCCTGAACTATCACACCTATACATAGCCATGCTACCTGTTATAGCTAACAAAGCACAACTTGTGTTATATTAACACAACTGACGACACTGGACATTGTGCATTCACCAAGTCTACCGAGACAGCAGCCATCCCACGCCGTCCCTCTAGTGACCTTCTCTCATGAGAAGGTGGTTACAAGTTAACCCATCTCGACATCAAACACAGCTGCAGGGTTCCTACATCCAAGCTGAGATCCCAGTTAGCACAACTTGTGTATAATGACAGGATGTGCTTGTGCATCCCCTGCAAACAATTACCGTTTTCCCCCAAGTGTAAGACGATCCTATGCATAAGATGTACCTTGATTTTGGGACAGGAAATTTTAAAGAAAAAAATAATGATATGATTACACAAAGTTACTGAACTCCTGTTTTATGTATCATCATCAAGTGCCCTGCAGACTGGCATTGGCATTCATGTATCTCCACAGATCTCGGTTCCCTCGTTCTCTCGATCAGCTCCATCGATGATATCCTTCCATCGCAATCCATCCGTCATCTTTTCTCTCCCTCTTCTACATGCTGATCTTCCCAGTGGTCACAATATTCTCCAACCCCCCCCCCCCCCCCTCATCACATGACCAAAGGATAGTTCTTTTCTTGTACTCATAGCTGTAAATATAATTTAGGATCTACATAACATTTTAGAGCTCTTTCGGCCATCCAAAGAGAGGGACCTGTTTATTGATCATAGAATACATAAAACTCTCATCCACGTGACAGTTCTTTAGCTTGCTCTCATCTGTCTGATGATGAATTACTGTCTTCCTCAGTTCCATCTGAAATGCCACACTTCTTGAATGAATTGGCTACAATCTCAATCTTCTCACCCAGGTACAAACTTCTCCAATAGTTGGTTTCTTCACACAACCTGCTAGTATCACATTATCCCCAGAAGACTTTATCCATTGGTTCCATTCGACTCTCACGACAACTCTGAAGGGTTAGTTAATGCTGACATCAAATGGTTGAACATACATAACATAACCCTTGACCCATAGTGTTGTGGAGATGTACTGATGGAAGCACTAGCACATAAAACCCGCCATCTTTCTCTGTCTTCCGCTTGATGAACAAGTGTATGATAACTTAGTTCTGTCTATTTCTTGATGTTGTCATTCCAGAATCTTCTATGCCCTCCTCTTCTTCGACTACACCACAATGTTCTTTGAATCACCGTCTTTGCAATCGAATCATGTCTTACCACATGCCAAACCAAGCTAGCTTGCGACGTTTCATCACTGCCAAGAGAGGCTCCTGATGTCCTGCACATTTGTATATTTTGTCTCTGACATATTTATTAGTTTTGTGTTCTAAATAACTAATTCGTAAATTGCATCCATAGCATTTATGTTCAAAAGCCTGAATCCTCCTTTCCATTTACGTGGTTGAAACTACGATGTCAAACGTCCAGGTACAATCAACGGCAAAGTTTTGTTTTCTTCTCTGTTATGTGCGCCCTGAACCAACAGGGCAGGTTTACGTAAGAGTACACCCAATCTTTCACTCCAAACTTTCTTAGACCAGATCTTCATCCAACATTTATCGTGTACATGGATAATCACTCCTTGGGGAATACCTTCTTTTGCATTTGAAAATTTAGCATAGGAGTCGGCTTGGTTCCATCAGCATAACAAGTTAGAGCAACTGTATAATGGCTCTTTTCATGTCAGCTTGTCTTTGCAATTATAGTCTCCATCCCCTTGTTATCAACAGTTTTGTTACTTGGTCATCATCATGTAGCAGGTCCTTTTCAGAACGTCGCTGTCATCAGTCCGCCTGAAAAAAAAACTCGGTCTCTTGCCAGTTCTCCCGCCTCATCAACTTTCACACCCAAGGAGTCACTTATATCATGTGCCCATCTTCGCGTCGGTCGGCCCCTGCCAGCTTTCGAGAAAGGATGGTGTTTATTAGCCAATCTTCCTTGATGTTCAGATCTTTTAAGATGTCAATATTTCTCATCTTCTTTGTCCAAGATATTCTGAGAATCTTTCTATAGCATTTCAGCTCAAAAGCCCCAATTCTCTTTCTTAATGGACTGAGAGATAGTCCACGACTCACATCCGTATGTAGCCACAGGGAAGATGCATGCTCTCAAAATTCTAATTTTTATCTCCTTGCTGTTACTTGGTACATCCAATAAAATCAGCACTGTATGAAAATCTTTTCTGAGATAATTATGGTCAAAATGTAGCCTACTGTGACAAGTGCGAAACGACCAAACTTTTAATTTGGAAACCCCCCTCCCCCCCCATGTCGTCCCTGAACCAACACTTCCAAATGAGGCCCTGTGTGTAATATTATGTAACAAATCGTTTGTATAAGACGCAGAGTTTTTATACATTTTATTTCGGGAAAATAAGTGTGTTTTATACTTGGGGAAATAGGGTACATATCTGAGAAATGCAGCCGTCTTACACAAGGATGTTTGTATATTTCAAGTTGGAAGCAGATGCCGCACCTATGCGTCTGCCCATCTTCTACAAGCTACTTTTGTCCGCTTGTAAGCTGATGATTTGTCTGCATGTAATTTAATCAAATATTTTATTCAGATACATAGATACAACTCAACAAACAACACTATCCTCCATATAAACAATTTAGACAGATACAACTTACTTCTACATCAACTGTTCACACATGTACAACTCAACAAACATGGCTTACTTCAACATCAACTGTTCACACATGTACAACTCAACAAACATGGCTTACTTCAACATCAACTTTCACACATTTACAATTCATTAAGAACCACAAACTTCTAATAACTCAACCAACAGTCATTAACTATTGTTTCAATTATTTACACAAATACCAAAAACTATATCAACTACTCACACATATACAACTCAACAGCCAACAAACATCACTAACCTGAAACAACTCAACAAACAGGGTCAGCCTCTATAATAACTATTCACATATCAAGAACCACAAACTTCTTATAACTCAACCAACAGTCGTCAACTACTGTCTCAATTATTTACACAAATACAACTTAACAAATATCAACAATTTCTATATCAACTACTCACACATATACAACTCAACAGCCAACAAACATTACTAACCTGAAACAACTCAACAAACATGTCTAGTCCCGACAATAACTATTTACACATATACAACTGAACAACCAACAAACATCACTAACCTTGAACAACTCAACAAACATGGCTAACCTCTACAATACCTATTTACACATATATAGCTGAACAACCAACAAACATCATTAATCTGAAACAACTTAACAAACACAGTTAGCCTCTTACAATAACTATCTACACACATATTTAACTCAAAATATGTCACTAAACTCAAACAACTCAACAAATACGGCTAGCCTCTACAATAACTATTTAAACACAAACAACATCGAACATCTCTAACTTTTAACAACTCAACAAACATGGCTAGCCTCTACAATAACTATTTACACACAAAAAACTCAACAAACATCAAACATCCCTAACTTCTAACAACTCAACAAACATGGCTCATTTCTACATCAACTATTTATAAATGTCTCTTCTTATGATGAGTATTTTTGGAGGCAGCAGAAGAGGAACCTGCCGCCTGAGTCCACTTGTCGGCCCGTGCGGAGTTCCACGATGGGTTGTGACCCTGAGCTGTACCCGAGCTTGCCTTGAACAAGCAGTTCATGAAGTCTTGTAGCTTGGCTCCGCTGAAACCAAATTATCAAGTGTGAAAATGATGACACAAGCAGATGGAAGATGTATTATAGAAGTTAAATGTAGAATAGCTCAAGGAAAGGCACCATTTCACAAAATGAAGAATATTCTGTGCTACCTTTCTGTGTCAATTCAGACAAGAAAGAGAATTCTCAAGAGCTACATAAATCCTTTCATTATATAAATGGAAGTGAATAATGGACGGATTAGTAAAACATGATGAGGAAGCGTCAGAGATGTGGTTTTATACATGAATGATGAGAAAACACCCTGGACAGGTAACAAGAGTAAAGAAGATGTCTTGATAGAAACTGACTCATGAAGAGAACTGACTGCCCACATCAGATGGAGACTCCCTGTGTGGGCTCCAGGGCCCTAGAGTGGGGAAGAACCAGAACAGTCTCACTAACAAGCATGTCTTAGGAGTTGACTAAGTAGGGGTTTCCTTCAAAGTCGGACTGCATCTATCTGCCTGAGAGGCAAGGAACCAACAGTCTGCTTACAAATAAGCCAGATGTGTAAAATGCATGTGCAATCAAAACTCAAGTTCTGAAATAAGACTAAAGTCCAGAAGCGGACAAACAACCAGAACTTTCTGCTGGGGTTTACAGCTGGTGAGCTTGAAGAAGAAGAAGACAACATCAATGATGACACAACATTAGCACAATTAATGACAACTCAATGATGACATAACAACCAAACAATTAATGACAATTCAATGATGACACAACATTAGTACAATTATTGACAACTCAATGATGACATGACAACAAAACAATTAATGACAATTCAATGATGACACAACATCAGTACAATTATTGACAACTCAATGATGACATGACAACAAAACAATTAATGACAATTCAATGATGACGCACTACTCCAAAATGATTGATGCTAACAACAGATACACCTACCCTGTATTGTGATGTCGACTACTCCCATCCGTGGCCAGCTTGTACGTGACTGTATGAGAATTTGCTTTCATATGTTTGAAGTATTCCTTCTGTGGATGAGAGATGGTGACATGTCACCCTGCATTTCACAGAAATACAATAATGCAGCAGATAAAAGCATGACTATGTACAGCCAGACTTAACAGAAATAGATTAATGCAGCAGATAAGACAATGACGATGTACAGCCAGACTTAACAGAAATACAATAATGCAGCAGATAAGACAATGACTATGTATAGCCAGACTTAACAGAAATACATTAATGCAGCAGATAAGACAATGACTATGTACAGCCAGACTTAACAGGAATACATTAATGCAGCAGATAAGACAATGACTATGTACAGCCAGACTTCACAGAAATACATTAATGCAGCAGATAAGACAATGACTATATACAGCCAGGCTTCACAGAAATACATTAATGCAGCAGATAAGACAATGACTATGTACAGCCAGGCTTCACAGAAATACATTAATGCAGCAGATAAGACAATGACTATGTACAGCCAGACTTAACAGAAATACATTAATGCAGCAGATAAGACAATGACTATGTATAGCCAGACTTAACAGGAATACATTAATGCAGCAGATAAGACAATGACTATGTACAGCCAGACTTAACAGAAATACATTAATGCAGCAGATAAAAGCATGACTATGTACAGCCAGACTTAACAGAAATACATTAATGCAGCAGATAAGACAATGACTATGTATAGCCAGACTTAACAGAAATACATTAATGCAGCAGATAAGACAATGACTATGTACAGCCAGACTTAACAGGAATACATTAATGCAGCAGATAAGACAATGACTATGTACAGCCAGACTTAACAGAAATAGATTAATGCAGCAGATAAGACAATGACGATGTACAGCCAGACTTAACAGAAATACAATAATGCAGCAGATAAGACAATGACTATGTATAGCCAGACTTAACAGAAATACATTAATGCAGCAGATAAGACAATGACTATGTACAGCCAGACTTAACAGGAATACATTAATGCAGCAGATAAGACAATGACTATGTACAGCCAGACTTCACAGAAATACATTAATGCAGCAGATAAGAGCATGACTATGTACAGCAAGGCTTAACAGAAATACACTAACAGTGTCACCATAGTGACACTTTAAACTACAAACGATATTTTTCTGGTGAATCCCACCTTGACCTCTATCATAGAGGCTGTGGGAAAATTTGAAGTCAACAATGTTAATATTTTAAGTAAACATACTCTATCATGACCTCCTAAACAGTCACTATCTTATACAATTATCTGATTTCTGTTCACATTCAGCTGAAGCCAATCAATGACCGGCAGCTCAGGAATAGCATAAACCTTTCACTAGGACAACCTGTTCCCCTTGGAGACCGCCGTTTTCTCTCATTTATATCTAGCATGACAGTAACTGCTGTATTTTGTCAATTATGACCCTGAAGTCTCCTGTGGAGATTCCTAACCCCATTTTTTGAAGAAGAAGAAGAAAAAAAGGACTCATCGCCTCCTAAAAAGTAAATCATAAAAGTCGACTAATTAAGGATTTTTCCTTCAAAGCTGGAGTGACCTGCTGCAGAACCCAACAGTCTGCACACAAATAAGCCAATCTGTACAATGGATGAGCATGCAAAACTCCAGTTCTGGAACAAAACCAGTTCAGAAGTGGACAAACAACCAGAATAGAGTTTACAGTCACAACAAGCTACATCTTCCAAAGTCACATAGCACATGTGCCTAACGGGCGAGGAACCAACAGTCTGCATACAAATAAGAAATCTGAAAAAAAAAAAAATTTAGTGCCACGCAAGGTCTGGAACAAGACCAAAGTCCAGAAGTGGACAAACAACCAGAACTTTCCGCTTCAAGTTACAGCTGGTCAATGCTAAGAAGAGAAGGAGAGAACAAGCAACACTTAACAAGTTTAAGACACAGCAATAAGACTTACATGACAATTCATCCAGTCTGTGACAAAAGAAATAAGACTTAATGTCATTTCATCCGGTCTGTGATAACAGAAAAAAAACTTTCATGACATTTCATCTGGTTTGTGAAAAGAGAAATAAAGACTCACATGACATTTCATCCAGTCTGTGATATCAAAGACATGCCCATCCAGCAAAGCGAAATAGTGCCAATAAAACCCTAGCAAAGTTGACTCGGCCCAGATATCACCCTGTCAATATAAGATGAAAGTAAATGTTTACTGCATTGTTATAAACATATTATGTCTTTACAAACACATATATATTCATAGTGGTAATACTGATACAACTGTGCAACACAACTCTCTCAATATCTCATTCTACAACACAACTCTCACTATCTCATTCAAAAACATATCTCCTTCTACTACACATCTCTCAATACCTCATTCTACAACTCTTTCAATTACTTCCCTCTACAACAAAGCTCTCTCAATACCTCATTCTACAACTCTTTCAATTACTTCACTCTACAACAAAGCTCTCTCAATACCTCATTCTACAACTCTTTCAATTACTTCACTCTACAACAAAGCTCTCTCAATACCTCATTCTACAACTCTTTCAATTACTTCACTCTACAACAAAGCTCTCTCAATACCTCATTCTACAACTCTTTCAATTACTTCCCTCTACAACAAAGCTCTTAATACCTCATTCTACAACTCTTTCAATTACTTCCCTCTACAACAAAGCTCTCTCAATACCTCATTCTACAACTCTTTCAATTACTTCCCTCTACAACAAAGCTCTCTCAATACCTCATTCTACAACTCTTTCAATTACTTCCCTCTACAACAAAGCTCTCTCAATACCTCATTCTACAACTCTTTTAATTACTTCACTCTACAACAAAGCTCTCTCAATACCTCATTCTACAACTCTTTCAATTACTTCACTCTACAACAAAGCTCTCTCAATACCTCATTCTACAACTCTTTCAATTACTTCCCTCTACAACAAAGCTCTCTCAATACCTCATTCTACAACTCTTTCAATTACTTCCCTCTACAACAAAGCTCTCTCAATACCTCATTCTACAACTCTTTCAATTACTTCACTCTACAACAAAGCTCTCTCAATACCTCATTCTACAACTCTTTCAATTACTTCCCTCTACAACAAAGCTCTCTCAATACCTCATTCTACAACTCTTTCAATTACTTCCCTCTACAACAAAGCTCTCTCAATACCTCATTCTACAACTCTTTCAATTACTTCCCTCTACAACAAAGCTCTCTCAATACCTCATTCTACAACTCTTTCAATTACTTCCCTCTACAACAAAGCTCTCTCAATACCTCATTCTACAACTCTTTCAATTACTTCCCTCTACAACAAAGCTCTCTCAATACCTCATTCTACAACTCTTTCAATTACTTCCCTCTACAACAAAGCTCTCAATACCTCATTCTACAACTCTTTCAATTACTTCACTCTACAACAAAGCTCTCTCAATACCTCATTCTACAACTCTTTCAATTACTTCACTCTACAACAAAGCTCTCTCAATACCTCATTCTACAACTCTTTCAATTACTTCACTCTACAACAAAGCTCTCTCAATACCTCATTCTACAACTCTTTCAATTACTTCACTCTACAACAAAGCTCTCTCAATACCTCATTCTACAACTCTTTCAATTACTTCCCTCTACAACAAAGCTCTCTCAATACCTCATTCTACAACTCTTTCAATTACTTCCCTCTACAACAAAGCTCTCAATACCTCATTCTACAACTCTTTCAATTACTTCCCTCTATAACAAAGCTCTCCCAATACCTCATTCTACAACTCTTTCAATTACTTCCCTCTACAACAAAGCTCTCTCAATACCTCATTCTACAACTCTTTCAATTACTTCCCTCTACAACAAAGCTCTCTCAATACCTCATTCTACAACTCTTTCAATTACTTCCCTCTACAACAAAGCTCTCTCAATACCTCATTCTACAACTCTTTCAATTACTTCCCTCTACAACAAAGCTCTCTCAATACCTCATTCTACAACTCTTTCAATTACTTCACTCTACAACAAAGCTCTCTCAATACCTCATTCTACAACTCTTTCAATTACTTCACTCTACAACAAAGCTCTCTCAATACCTCATTCTACAACTCTTTCAATTACTTCCCTCTACAACAAAGCTCTCTCAATACCTCATTCTACAACTCTTTCAATTACTTCCCTCTACAACAAAGCTCTCTCAATACCTCATTCTACAACTCTTTCAATTACTTCCTCTACAACAAAGCTCTCAATACCTCATTCTACAACTCTTTCAATTACTTCACTCTACAACAAAGCTCTCTCAATACCTCATTCTACAACTCTTTCAATTACTTCACTCTACAACAAAGCTCTCTCAATACCTCATTCTACAACTCTTTCAATTACTTCACTCTCTACAACAAAGCTCTCTCAATACCTCATTCTACAACTCTTTCAATTACTTCCCTCTACAACAAAGCTCTCTCAATACCTCATTCTACAACTCTTTCAATTACTTCCCTCTACAACAAAGCTCTCTCAATACCTCATTCTACAACTCTTTCAATTACTTCCCTCTACAACAAAGCTCTCAATACCTCATTCTACAACTCTTTCAATTACTTCCCTCTACAACAAAGCTCTCTCAATACCTCATTCTACAACTCTTTCAATTACTTCCCTCTACAACAAAGCTCTCTCAATACCTCATTCTACAACTCTTTCAATTACTTCCCTCTACAACAAAGCTCTCAATACCTCATTCTACAACTCTTTCAATTACTTCCCTCTACAACAAAGCTCTCTCAATACCTCATTCTACAACTCTTTCAATTACTTCCCTCTATAACAAAGCTCTCTCAATACCTCATTCTACAACTCTTTCAATTACTTCCCTCTATAACAAAGCTCTCTCAATACCTCATTCTACAACTCTTTCAATTACTTCCCTCTATAACAAAGCTCTCTCAATACCTCATTCTACAACTCTTTCAATTACTTCCCTCTATAACAAAGCTCTCTCAATACCTCATTCTACAACTCTTTCAATTACTTCCCTCTATAACAAAGCTCTCTCAATACCTCATTCTACAACTCTTTCAATTACTTCCCTCTACAACAAAGCTCTCTCAATACCTCCTCATTCTACAACTCTTTCAATTACTTCCCTCTATAACAAAGCTCTCTCAATACCTCATTCTACAACTCTTTCAATTACTTCCCTCTACAACAAAGCTCTCTCAATACCTCATTCTACAACTCTTTCAATTACTTCCCTCTATAACAAAGCTCTCTCAATACCTCATTCTACAACTCTTTCAATTACTTCCCTCTACAACAAAGCTCTCTCAATACCTCATTCTACAACTCTTTCAATTACTTCCCTCTACAACAAAGCTCTCAATACCTCATTCTACAACTCTTTCAATTACTTCCCTCTACAACAAAGCTCTCTCAATACCTCATTCTACAACTCTTTCAATTACTTCCCTCTACAACAAAGCTCTCTCAATACCTCATTCTACAACTCTTTCAATTACTTCCCTCTACAACAAAGCTCTCTCAATACCTCATTCTACAACTCTTTCAATTACTTCCCTCTACAACAAAGCTCTCAATACCTCATTCTACAACTCTTTCAATTACTTCACTCTACAACAAAGCTCTCAATACCTCATTCTACAACTCTTTCAATTACTTCCCTCTACAACAAAGCTCTCTCAATACCTCATTCTACAACTCTTTCAATTACTTCACTCTACAACAAAGCTCTCTCAATACCTCATTCTACAACTCTTTCAATTACTTCCCTCTACAACAAAGCTCTCTCAATACCTCATTCTACAACTCTTTCAATTACTTCACTCTACAACAAAGCTCTCTCAATACCTCATTCTACAACTCTTTCAATTACTTCCCTCTACAACAAAGCTCTCAATACCTCATTCTACAACTCTTTCAATTACTTCCCTCTACAACAAAGCTCTCTCAATACCTCATTCTACAACTCTTTTAATTACTTCCCTCTACAACAAAGCTCTCTCAATACCTCATTCTACAACTCTTTCAATTACTTCCCTCTACAACAAAGCTCTCTCAATACCTCATTCTACAACTCTTTCAATTACTTCCCTCTACAACAAAGCTCTCTCAATACCTCATTCTACAACTCTTTTAATTACTTCACTCTACAACAAAGCTCTCTCAATACCTCATTCTACAACTCTTTCAATTACTTCCCTCTACAACAAAGCTCTCAATACCTCATTCTACAACTCTTTTAATTACTTCCCTCTATAACAAAGCTCTCTCAATACTTCATTCTACAACTCTTTCAATTACTTCCCTCTACAACAAAGCTCTCTCAATACCTCATTCTACAACTCTTTCAATTACTTCACTCTACAACAAAGCTCTCTTAATACCTCATTCTACAACTCTTTTAATTACTTCCCTCTATAACAAAGCTCTCTCAATACTTCATTCTACAACTCTTTCAATTACTTCCCTCTATAACAAAGCTCTCTCAATACCTCATTCTACAACTCTTTCAATTACTTCCCTCTATAACAAAGCTCTCTCAATACCTCATTCTACAACTCTTTCAATTACTTCCCTCTACAACAAAGCTCTCTCAATACCTCATTCTACAACTCTTTCAATTACTTCCCTCTATAACAAAGCTCTCTCAATACCTCATTCTACAACTCTTTCAATTACTTCCCTCTACAACAAAGCTCTCTCAATACCTCATTCTACAACTCTTTCAATTACTTCCCTCTACAACAAAGCTCTCTCAATACCTCATTCTACAACTCTTTCAATTACTTCACTCTACAACAAAGCTCTCTTAATACCTCATTCTACAACTCTTTCAATTACTTCCCTCTATAACAAAGCTCTCTCAATACCTCATTCTACAACTCTTTCAATTACTTCCCTCTACAACAAAGCTCTCTCAATACCTCATTCTACAACTCTTTCAATTACTTCACTCTACAACAAAGCTCTCTCAATGACAAAAGTCTATCATCAGTTCATGCTGATATATTGACTAGAAACTACTGACCGCTTTAGCAGAATGTCTGGCATTGCACTGCTGACAAAACCTGGCACTGTAGAAAGGGCGATCCACCGGCACCCGTCGATGCTTCCCTCCACAGACATCACAGTACATCATGTTGGCGGCCTGGAGATGAAACAGATGACATTTGACAAGCTTCTACACGTCTCAAAAGTGTCATTTCAGTGAGACAGTAAATGCATCAATTTATGTCTAATGTAAGAGTATTTTTAGGATTATCTGATTAAAAAAAATAAAAGGGCTGCATGCAGACTGCAGCCAACAATTTAATCTATTTCAGAATGGACCCAGTATAATAATCACTAAGAGACTGCACCCAACAATCTTGCTCTGACTACTGGGCTGTGCTCATTAATCCTAGCGACTCCCAGACAGTGCCAATTAATTCTACTGTGACTTCTAGATGGTGCCTATTAATTATATTGTAAGCGCTATATTGTGCACATTAATTTTATTGTGACTGTTATGTCCATTAATCCTATTGTGATTGCTATATTATGTTAATTAATTCTACAGTAATCGCTATATTATGCCCATTAATTCTACAGCAATTGCTATATTATGTCAATTAACTCTACAGCGATTGCTATATTATGTCAATTAACTCTACAGTGGCTGCTAGACTGTTTGCAGTAATGAGACTGGCATGTCTGCAGGTAATTTATCTGTCTACCTCAATTTTACAAAAATTCAAATTAAATTTACCTCCTGAATCTTCGTTTGTAACTTGGACAACATTTCAGCAAATTTTCTCTGCAAAAGATCAGCAGGCACGAAATATTTCAATTTTTATTTGTTTGTTAAATAAACAATAAGAAAACAAAATAATGGATTGGAAACAATATTATGACAGGTGTGGTAGGTCACCTGCAGTCATTGTGTGAGTCAAGGGTAAACTGTTACAGTCAATGTGTGAGTAAACAGTACACTGTTTCAGTCAGTGTGTAAGCCAACAGAACACTGTTACAGTCAATGTGTGAGCCAATAGTACACTGTTACAGTCAATGTGTGAGCCAACAGTACACTGTTACAGTCAACGTGTGAGCCAACAGTACACTGTTACAGTCAATGTGTGAGCCAACAGTACACTATTACAGTCAATGTGTGAGCCAACAGTACACTGTTACAGTCAATGTGTGAGCCAACAGTACACTGTTACAGTCAATGTGTGAGCCAACAGTACACTGTTACAGTCAATGTGTGAGCCAACAGTACACTATTACAGTCAATGTGTGAGCCAACAGTACACTATAACAGTCAATGTGTGAGCCAACAGTACACTGTTACAGTCAACGTGTGAGCAAACAGCACATTGTTACAGTCAACGTGTGAGCCAATAGTACACTATTACAGTCAATGTGTGAGCCAACAGTACACTATTACAGTCAATGTGTGAGCCAACAGTACACTATTACAGTCAATGTGTGAGCCAACAGTACACTATTACAGTCAATGTGTGAGCCAACAGTACACTATTACAGTCAATGTGTGAGCCAACAGTACACTATTACAGTCAATGTGTGAGCCAACAGTACACTGTTACAGTCAATGTGTGAGCCAACAGTACACTATTACAGTCAATGTGTCAGCCAACAGTACACTTTTACAGTCAATGTGTCAGCCAACAGTACACTGTTACAGTCAATGTGTGAGCCAACAGTACACTGTTACAGTCAATGTGTGAGCCAACAGTACACTATTACAGTCAATGTGTCAGCCAACAGTACACTGTTACAGTCAATGTGTCAGCCAACAGTACACTATTACAGTCAATGTGTCAGCCAACAGTACACTTTTACAGTCAATGTGTCAGCCAACAGTACACTATTACAGTCAATGTGTGAGCCAACAGTACACTGTTACAGTCAATGTGTGAGCCAACAGTACACTGTTACAGTCAATGTGTCAGCCAACAGTACCTCCTAGATCAGATGTCATCTAAAGCCAAAGATCTGGTCTGCCCAGCTATAATATTAAGTTGCCAGGTTGTTTTTCCTGTTCCTAGAATAGGGCTAGCATCCTTCCCACGAGCTCCACCACCTGAAGACTTGAGCAACCTGTGGGATGTCAGGTTTGGTATATGCCACTAAACAGTTAATACCATCTCAGCAATAACCATGACAGTTTCAAAATGTGAACAGTCTAAGAGAAATGCAGTACATGTACACAAAATTTAAAATCAGTGAATCATCCATGTGCACATATGGATTGGCACCTGAGACAACAGATCATGTCCTCTAAGACTGTCCCAAATACAACATATTGAGGCAAAACTTTTGGCCAAGAGAAACATCGGTGAAGGTCAAACTTTACGGGTCGCGGAGTGAATTACAAAAGACAGTGAAGTTCATACTATAGACAATATTGCAGAGGAAGAAATAGAAATGCAGTAGACAATCTGTTTACCATTGCCTGCAATTCTTGAGCCTCTTGTGTGTGGCCATCATACTGTTTTCTTTTAACCTGCAGGAATTCAACAACATAACAGAACTTGTGGTTAACTCCCAACACTGCAGGGACATTTGGTCAAAGACTACAACATTCATCATTATCATCTAGCGCCAGGCTATTTAACCAAGTTTACTCAAAAAGCCAAAATGTTGAAAATGAGTTCCGTCAAAGGCCAGAGGTCTGAGCCCCAGCGTAAAAAGATCATTCATACAATACACGTGGTAATGATCCACGGGCCACCTGTTAGGCTTCCATGGACCACATTTAACCCAAGGGTCGGCAGCTCAATAGCCTTGATCTAGTGCCTTGTCAGCTGGTGTGACTTCTACACATCCTGCGACGTCCAACAGGACATATCTGTTCATATGCCAACATCTTTCCATCCACCGCTGAAAGGCTGTCCGGAATCTTCTCTGACCACCTTACTTTATCTCCCTATAGACATTTCAACTGTTCCAATTCTTCTGTTTTTGTGAAGATGCCCTTCGTTATGCCGGGGTGCTGGATTCCAGCTGCAGGCGACCGGACAACAGTTCACCTTGAATTGGTTTCAACAGCTGATCGTTCAGCAAGCAATGGTAAACTACTGAATGTAAATTTGCCTAGAAAAACCACAGCCAAAATATGCCCAGGTTGCTTCTGCAACATCCTATAAAAGACACCAACTAGCTTAGACACTAACTAACTTAATAGACATAACACAACATTAAGAGAAGTTAATATGCATACACCAATATTACAGTATACTTGAATGTGGGAGCGTCCCACTTTCATCTGACTGCTACCCCAACATGGGTGGCACCACAGCTGGATTAATATTTACTCATGGCTTTTGAGTTCATCATACGACCTGATTCCTCCCCACACAATATTATGGTTGACACATTTTGTTTCTGGGGAAAGCTTTTACTGACTTTGCTCTGCAGACAGTTGTAGTTCCTTGCTGACTAGAGTCTGTCTACCTGGAAAGTGGGCCGAGCGATCAAAACATCGTGAAGGCAGGGTGATCAAGGCTACCAAATCTATCTGCCTTATCCCAACTTGACAAAGCATAACCACATTATATGCAGCTCTTATGAAAAACACAAAGTACCATTTGTTAGAAATATGCACAAAATAGCAGTCCATGAACAATCTAAAAGAAATCAGTCCCAGAAAAATTACACCGTCACTATAAGCCATTTTGAAAACCATCCGTCAAGGGTCATGCCTGAATATTTTGTTGTGTTCGTTCTCTCGATGTCCATACCACACATGCTCACAATTGGTTTTGGTTACAGACAATGTGGGTATTCAAAGAACCATGTTAAGGAGGCCTTTGCTGGCTTTACTTGTGCTCTCGACTCCTGGAATCACTCACAGAGTCTGTCTAGTTAATGCTGTAGCACTGAAATTTAATTCCAGTTTCTTCCTGAAAGGTCCATAAGAAAATCAACACTGTTCTGACCAGGCCTATACTCTGTGCACTGGTGAGCCCTGATATAGAGAACCAGTGATACCGTGATCCCTGAGGCAGACCCATTGAGACACACTGAGATTTTGTTGATACCCATGGGCAACCATATCCCAACGATGTTATTCTTATGAAAAGTGCTGCTGCCATCCAGTTGACCCACTTTGTCTCAACGTGCATGTCAAACTGCATTCTGATGAACACACTGCATGGGATGCTGTTGTATGCATCTACTGGATCAAAGTCAGCTGCAACCATTTCCATTCCTGCCTGGAAACCTTCACATGCAATGGCTACAGCACTGCACCAAGCATCTCTACCTGGCCAGTAACTACCAAGTATAGCAGGGAATACACCACATGACTCACTTTTTCGGATCACCATTCTGGCCATGCTGTTCCATGAGATATTTAAACAGTGTTCTGGTGTGTGATGATTCTGTAGCCCTTTGTTCTCATATGATCTTTCCCAGGCCTAGCAATGGGTTTGAGGCAGATCTGGAGCCAGTCATCCGGAATAATGCCCGTTCTGATAGTGTTCTTCAATGTTCCGGATAATTGAGCTGCATGTTCTCATCTGAGGTTTTGAACAACAGATCAACATCATGGCACACAGGTGTAACCCACAAGTGCTCTGTTCTTCTCCTAACTCAAGTCTGAGTCCGAAGAAGCTCAGCACAGTGCGCAGGCTCTGTAGCACTGGCGAGGATCCTGAAATACTATGGGTAGATTTTAAACCCTAAATTTTGCCCGGGCAGCGCCGCTAGGCTACTCTTTTTAATTTCCAACTGCCAAGGGATTTTTTACGTGCGCAACAATCTCACTACCCAGAGATCAGGGGTTTTTACCAGAAGGTCAAGTTCATGTGAAAAAAATCCCAGCCCTTACCGCGGATTGAACATGGAACCTCTAGCACCTCGAGAATATGCAGCCCCCTTTTTAAATCTCACCTATGCTTTTTTAAGTCGCTGTATCTAATACCGACATACCCTGGAGCTGTGTCCAGGCAAGTCATCAGTTCTGTCCTGATGCATTTAGCTGAGATGTTCACTGTACATTGTCTCCTTGCATATCACTCTGGAAAATGGTCAGCTCGCTATCATAAGTAGTATTTCAAAAATATGTAACCACCTACCGGATCTCCTATCATCTTAAAGGCATGACCCAATATCTTGAAAGCATCCTCCGCACCAGGTTCCTGATTCTGTTTATTGACAAAGAATCAAATGCGCAAAAGCTTGTTAAAAACCCACTAAACAGAAATATTTATCAAAATGGTGGGAAAGTACTAGGTTTTTTTTTAATGTCGACAGTCTCTACAAAAGTTCTACAAACTACCAAGCTTGGGCTAGTTAACCAAGAATGTGAGCTCTTGTTAACCAGGAATGATAACTCTAGTTAGCCATGAATGTCTAGTCAACTGTAAATGTAAACTCTATAGTTAACTGTGAATGTAAACTCTAGTTAACTGTGAATCTAAACCTTTACAAAACTGTTTAATGAAATATAAACACATCTATTTGAAATAGAAAGACCAAAATAACTATCCCTTTCTCTACCTGTAACCCACATGTACATGGGTGTGCTTGCATAACATGACTGTTGGAGGTCGATAACAGCCATTGTCAGGGTCAACCAACAGTCCCTTGTGTAGACTCTGACGATGACAGCTATTGTCACGGTCAACCAACAGTTCCTTGTGTAGACTCCGACGATGACAGCCATTGTCAGGGTCAACCAACAGTTCCCTGTGTAGACTCTGACGATGACAGCCATTGTCAGGGTCAACCAACAGTTCCTTGTGTAGACTCTGACGATGACAGCCATTGTCAGGGTCAACCAACAGTTCCTTGTGTAGACTCTGACAATGACAGCCATTGTCAGGGTCAACCAACAGTTCCTTGTGTAGACTCTGACGATGACAGCCATTGTCAGGGTCAACCAACAGTTCCTTGTGTAGACTCTGACAATGACAGCCATTGTCAGGGTCAACCAACAGTTCCTTGTGTAGACTCTGACGATGACAGCCATTGTCAGGGTCAACCAACAGTTCCTTGTGTAGACTCTGACGATGACAGCCATTGTCAGGGTCAACCAACAGTTCCTTGTGTAGACTCTGAGCCCATATTTGGTATTTTATGACAGGTGACTAATAAAGTAGTTGGTAAAATCAGATCTGTCGGGCCAAAAGACAAAGATACTGCATCCTAGCTTTAAACCCCAAAACAACATGCCAACTGTCTTTTTCAGAGCAAATGCAGAAGACAAAAGAAGAAGAATCAACACTGCTTTATATGTGTGTGTCTGCATTTGTGTGTCTAAATATACAAATACAGTGATTGTGAGAGACTTCCGGTTTAGAAATGGCAGCGTGAAGACGTGCTTGCGGCGACACGCGGTTTTATTTTAAAATTTTCACTTAATCTGTGTTTTTCTTTTGATAACAGAGTGTGATTATTACTAATTCATTGATGATGGATATTTTCTTGTTCATGGATGATGGTATTCTGTGGTTTAGGGGTGTTATAATGAAATTAATCCAGAAAACTGTCACTCAAATCACGCGAGAGGCACAAAACAATTATTTTAAACCACGACACTGGGCTGCAACCCGGTAAAAGTGAAGAAGACAATAGATAGATAGATAGATAGATAGATAGATAATGAAATTAATTCCACAAAATAGCCACAGCGGCGGCCGTGTCCTAATATCGATAATCTAACCGCGTAGGAGCCACGCTCCCATTATAAACATGGGAGTCCACGGGTAAGACCCCAGTCTACTCTAGCAAAACAAGGTGCTGAAGTCGGAGGCAACCAGCCAGGAGGCGCACCACAGCAATCAGGATGCCATGCACAAACGCAACAGGGAATATTTCTATATCTGCAAATAAGTATGATTCTCACAATGGGACCCACTCACGTACACGTGGTTCGATTTACCAGCCTAGGACAAGTAGAAAGAGTCCAGCTTCAAATACTCGAAGCCACCCCCTAACGCCCCGTAGAACCAGAAAATACAGCTAGTCTTAAAATAATGCACTGGAACGCGGAGGGAGTAAATACTAAGAAATTAGAATTAGAAAACGTCTTGAACGAAGAGAATATACATGTATGCTGCCTTCAAGAGACGTATTTCAAACAAGATATCTCCTTCAAGGTCAGAGGCTACAAGTGTTTCCGATCTGACCGCAAAGACAGGAGAAAAGGTAGAATTCTTACCCTGGTCAAAAATAACATCCTTGCGGGCCGGATTGAAACATACATGGAAGGTGCTGAGTATCAAACTCTTGAGCTCAAGTTAGAAAATACAGATTTACATCTGACCAACTATTACTGTCCGAGCGACCGCCCTCAGGCACTGGATACAGTACTAGTAAATGAAAAAATGATAATTTGCGGGGATTACAATAGCCACTCCCAAAGCTGGGGCTACGATCACATGGATCAGAGAGGAGAGAAACTAGAGGACTGGCAGGATGAGAATAGGTTCATCCTCGTTAATAAGCCAACCGACCCACCAACCTTCTACTCTAGAGCATGGCATACCACCTCGACACCAGACCTAGCCTTTCACTCAGCAGACATGGAACTGATAGTTACCAGAACTGTTGGGAAGCAACTAGGAGGCAGTGACCACCGGCCAGTCTTTCTAACTATAGAAAGCCAGTCTGTAAGAGAGAGCAGCACACTGCCAAGGTGGAATTTTAAGAAGGCAGACTAGAAGTTGTATCAGCTTCGCACAAATATTCTGATGGAAAATCTGAACACAGATAACAACGTAGAAAAAGTAGTCCAAGAGTTGAGCAAACGCATGCTGCAGGCAGCCCTAGAAGCAGTTCCAAGAGGTGCGCGTAAACAATACAAACCGTACTGGAATTGCGATCTGGAGCAACTGCACAACAATATGGAAACAGAAAGAAAACAAGCTGAGACCAGACCTTGTCAAGAGCAGTTTAACAACTACCAACATTCAAAGGCCAAATTCCAAAGAGCGAAACTGCAGGCTAGACAGACAAGCTGGCAGGAAAAGACAAAGTCTCTAAACTTTGAAAGAGACACAAGGAAGTTGTGGAGGTTAATTAAACAAATTAATGATGAGAATACAGGAAGAAATGGTAATATTGCACTTTGCAAAGAGGGAGCCATCCTAACAAGAAAACACGCAGCTGACCACTTTGCAGATTCTTTTGCAGAAGACAGCAACATTATTGTCAGCCCAGAGAAACAGCGAGAGGTTCGAGAGAACAAACAGCATAAAAGACAAAATGATATAATTCCTGCGGTACTGTTGGCAGCAGTTACATCCAGCGAGTTAGAGCTAGCAATATCAAAGCTGAGAATGGGAAAATCACCTGGAACTGATGGAATCACCAACGAAATAATCAAGAACCTTGGAACAACTGCCAAAATAAAGCTGCTACAGATGTTTAATCATTGTTGGACCAGTGGCAAAGTTCCTCAGATATGGAGAGAAAGCAATTACAATACCTCTGCTTAAACCACGAAAGGACAGCTCTGATGCCTCCAGCTATAGACCGATCAGTCTTACCAGCTGCCTCTGTAAAACAATGGAATGTATTGTCAACCTTAGACTCCAATGGTACCTGGAAAGTGAAAACATTTTCATGCCGCAGCAGGCAGGATTTAGACAGTGCTACTCCACAGAAGACCAGACAACTTAGCTTTCACAAGAAATTGAGGATGCCTTCCAGGAAAAGAAGCTAGTGCTAACGGCATGGATAGATCTGAAGAAAGCCTTTGACAAGGTCTGGAAAGAAGGTCTACTGAAGAAACTGAGAGACTGCAGGGTGAATGGGAGTATGTACAAATGGGTGGAAGCACACTTGTATAACAGAAGATCCCGAGTACAGATAGATGGACTTAAGAGTAAGGAAGTTTTGCTGCGCCATGGCGTACCACAAGGAGGCGTCCTGTCCCCCACACTCTTCCTAGTCTATATCAATGACCTGCTTTCTGAACTATCCCATGGAATTAAAGCTGCAATGTATGCTGATGACTTGGTACTCTGGTGTACAAATGAACATGCAACAGTGGCCACCAGACTGCTACAAAGAGTCATAGATGCAAATGGTGTGTCAGCATCAACATAGGCAAATGCAGCACCACCCTCTTTACCCTTTCTCCAAAACAAAAATCAGGTGTCATACACATAAATGGAGTACCCCTGAGAGAGGATAAGGAGCCCACATACCTCAGAGTAACGTTTGATGATAGGTTAACATGGAGACAACACATCAACCAAAGCCAGAAGGAGGGTAGCCATTCTGAGAAAACTAAGTGGAACCACATGGGGTGCTAGCAAGAAAACACTTAGGAAAGTTTACCAACAAAGTGTTCGACCACATCTTGAATACGGATTAACAGCTAGGAGTTTGGCATCAAAAACCACATTGCAAGAATTAGACAAAGTGCAAAATCAAGCATTCAGAGTTACCACAGGCAGTATGAAATCAACACCTATAGCTGTGATGGAGAAAATGGGGATGACCCAAGCACTGAGTGAACGCAGAGACACCAAGATGCTTTTACAAGCAGAAAAGTTTCTTAGTATGCCCAGTCACCCCATGAATGAAAGATTCCAAAATTTAGCTTTGGGACGACTAAAGTGAAGTAGTTTTATCCACCAGGCCAAACGGCTCGACAGACAAACCACCGACTTGCCTGCAACTGATAGATCCTTAAATGCTGTCCCAGAACGAACCCCCTGGAGAGAGGAGTATAAGTTTCCAATACACATCAAGACTGAAGTGAAAGGGGTATTTGACAAGGAAGAACAAAACAGTGTGCAGCGCAAAACAGCCACCCTCAGTCTACTTGATGATGAATACCCACATAATCTTTGGGTCCGTGTTTACACAGGTGGGTCAGCATAAAGCGCAGTCAGAAACGGAGGTGCAGGAGTGTACATTGAGTATCCTAATAATACCAGGGATACAGCCAAAATACCAACAGGAAAGCACTGTGACAACTATGATGCAGAAGTTCAAGCCATCGAGATAGCGGTAGAGAAACTACTAAATACAGGGTATTTTTAACAACCAGTGGTATTCCTGACAGATGCAAAAGCTGTACTTCAGGCACTCCAGTCTGGAAAATTACCAAGCATACGGACACTATTATCCGAAC